ACACACACACACACACACACAAACACACACACACACACACACACACACACACACACACACACACACACACACACACACACACTGTTAATGGCAGGAGCCTGTTAGCAGAGAATCCTGATATGATTCACCTTACTGTCAATCAATGTGTCTGTTCATGCTCAAATCCTGGCTGCCCCCCCCCCCCCCCCCCCCCATCACCGTGTATCAGTGATGCTACTGAGACGCTCGTTCCCCGAATGATTATTTAACCTGTATTTCTAAAGGACTATACAGGTCAGATGAGAACAATCTCAAACCCTCTTCCTGTTCCTGTTGTGAGATTAACATGAAAAACATTACTAGATCTCTAAATATACTAAACATTCGAATAGATGTTGATCTGGATATCATTTGTCGTTCTGGAGGCCTTTCACCTAAGTTAGAAGAGTATTCAAAGATAAGTACAAAAGGGTTGACTGCATGAATTTTGGTCCATAACCAAGAAATTCTTCAGCTGCCTCAGTAATCAGTTAGAGGAGAACAAGTAAACACTTAGCATGTCATCTTCAGAGTTCATCAGCTGAGCAACTTGAGACAGGATCCAGAGCAGCAGTGGAGAGAAGGTGGGGGTGCGGAGAACAATCACATTTCACTGATGGCTTTCAGGCTGTAGACGTGAGCCGTCATTAAAGCCATAGCTGATATGGTGAAAGGGCACACCTTTGAAATGGTCATGTGCTGCTCATGTTTACTTGCCGTATTAAATGCATAATTACATTTAAACTGGGACTTCATTTTTTTGACATGATAAAACGATCTAGATAGTTTCCTTACTTACAAATGTAGGAATATCAGCATTTAGTTGCACATTTGTTCAAATAAGTTCAAAAACTGCCTCACATTTGATCTAAAAAGTTGTTCCAAATAAATGCATTAAAAGCAATTATAAAAAGGAAATCATGAACATTCTAGATGGACTGAGCATTCTCCTTATTGGTTAACTTCAATCAATGCATTCCATGCTGTTCAATACTCCCATAAGGATTGATACAGAGGCAATTATCTTACCGGATTAAGTTAGTAACTCTTTACTAGGTCAGTTTTTAAGTTCTAACAGTACGATTCTGATCTTTGACTGATCAAGATCAATATGTGGGTATTTTAAAAACTGCTGTTGAGTATGGATGACTTCATTTAAAAAAAAAATCTTCTTCATTGGACTCCATCATGTGAACATTGAGGTGGATAAAATGCTAATTAAAATATGAATCAACACAGCGATCAACTTCACCACAACGGATTGTATGGGCTATAGCTGATGTTGCAGTAGACCAATCACATGTCGCATTAAGTCAAAGAACAGCTCAATCGATGTGTGAGTGTGTGTGAATGAACATTTAGGTTAGATCCTGGTGAGGAAGGCTCTAGATAAAATGCAAGTCGATTTCAGCTAAAGAGCAGAGAAGCCTGTAGTGAACACTGGAACACTGACAGCATGCCCCCCCCCCACACACACACACAAACACAGTGAGGACACAGTATAGAACATCGCCTCTCTCAGCCACAGACGCTGTCACTAAACCACACCTCCATGTTTGTGTGTAGGTTCCTAGGTTCAATGATGAAATGTAAAAAAGAAGTTAGCGGCCAAAATAAGAGTCAACATCTCTAAAAGCTCTGCTTATCCAGCAACAGGGCCAGCAGAACTCACAAGTCATTTTTCTGGGGGACATTAATTAGTACATTTCACAGCAGTCTGCCTCTGTGTTCCAGTATTTGGTACGTACAAGTGGACTTGTTGGGCTCATGCTAGTGTTCATGTATTATGTCGGTGAAGGAATTGAGATCAGTCCTATACCTTTCCCTGGCTTCCTCCTGCCTCCCCCCTCCCCCACTCTCTCTCTCGCTCTCTCTCTGTGGGCCTGCTAAGGCAATTTGTATTGACTTATTCATTTCTCTGTTAGGTTCCTTTCTATTAGTGGTCATAATAATGAAATGGATATGAGGCAAATACACAAAGTCCACTTTCATATAATGGACTCCTGTCAGCGTTCCCACTGGCTTCTACAATACATTAGAAACACTTCATACTTTTTTGCTGGTTTAGGAAGTGGCTAAAAAACATATCCAGGTATCCCAGGAAACAATATTTGATACACCTGAAGTGAGGTATTTGTTGACCTGTTTCACTGAAGTAAGTTTAATAAAACTGTCTATGTTCATATGTGTTAATTGTGCGGTCCAACATAAAAAAACCTTCATAACCCTAAATGGTAAAGATGCCAGCTGAATGAGTGGTGTGGAGTACTGAAATCAGGTGTCAATGTATCTGAGTCCTGAAAGGAGCAGATCCCAGTACAGCTGTTCCTCTGTACCTGTCCCCTGTGCAAATCATTTGAACACTCTCAGATTAGATTTGAGAACGTAACACTATATCTGTTAATGCATCATAAACACGAGTCATTAAGTAACATAACACCTTTTTGTAAGATGCAGCTTATGGTCAACTTTAACACTAAGTTCTTATGGATCTTAAAATTAAATTCATATTTTTAAGACTAAAGACTCATCAGGATTTCTTTTATCATGGTAGGTGGGGTTACCTCTGCTATTCTGTGATTTGAATTTCACCTGGAATGTGTCTGGGTCACTTTTCATCCGCACCCCAGTAATAGTTGCATCTGTGATAGCCTGCTGCTGAACTCGAGGTTGTTTCTGTCATTTCATTGACTTCAACAGCAATGTATTGCTGAGATGATATTTTGAGGGGAAGAGCAACGAGTCCTAGTACTTCTTCATCAGCAGTGTTACATGTGACTTTGAAGGAAAAAAGACAAAGTGAAAAACACTTATCTTTAATAAAAAACAATAGTTGGAACATATAGGCTTATACCATGTTCATTGGCAAGACCTCTTAAAATGACATCAAATGGGATGTTTTCACCTTTCCATTAAATCTCCTGCCCCCCCTGGGGAGGCTTTCACTAGCTCCTGCTGTGAACGCTGCCCATACCCTGTGACCCCCTACCCCGACCATTCAAATGCTGTCTGGAACTCTCACTGGGATTACTCACATCATTACATTTCAACAGATTTCCTATTTCAAGATCATTCATTGAATCCATTTGTATCATTACATCGGGTTAATAATAAATTGAACCACTTATGAGTGTGCTGTATAATAATTTGTCATGTTGCACAGATTATTTTGTATTATTAAAGATAAAAGCCCTCAACACATCAGCATCACACCATCATCTCTTCCCGTCATGTTCATCAGAAGAAGTTATCACAGTGCAGAGCGTAGGGACACAGTCCTAACAGCTGAAGCTTGTTTTGAAAAGATTGAACACCTAGACCTAGACCTAGAAACACTTTGACAGAGCCTCTAAATAAGAAACCAATATCCATCATTTATTAATAGCAATTCATCAATCCAAAACGATGTCCATGTACACGATGCAAATGGACAGCTGGTCTGCATCTGTCTCTGTCTTATTGATCACACACACACACGCACGCACGCACGCACGCACGCACGCACGCACGCACGCACGCACACACACACACACACACACACACACACACACACACACACACACACACACACACACACACACACACACACACACACACACACACCTTCCAGAAAAAGACATCAGTTAGACTTTCACAAAACAATTCCATAAACATGTTACCATGGATACAGTGTTAATACATTTTAATATGGAGATAAATGCAAATAATATTTTTTCATCAAACCACCTCCATTTGCATTTCTACATCCTGAGAGCAGCACTGCTTATCTCTCATTTCACACCAGAGCTGCAATGAAGAAAATGGACACGCCCATTTGTACCGCCAACAGCAACAACAAAATATGGGAGGATGCAAGAAAAAACATGTCTACGCTATCAGCAAGGCAAAAAATGGATGTAGGAAGAGAAGGAGGGATCTGATGGAGGTGGGCGAGAGATGAGTCAAAGAGGGTTAGAAAGAGAGGGAAGCCAAAGTAAAGAAGAAGCAGAGCAGAAGCAGACAGACTGATACACCCAGAGAATCCAGTTTCAAACCTAGGGGGTCAGAATGATTTAAAAATGACATAAAGAAACAGGACTAGTGATACGAAAATGGAGGGACGGGAGAGAGCCACACGAACGGCAGAGAGAAAAGGAGACATGCAGAGAGCGCGGGAGAGGGAAAGACGTTCAGACAAGCGTGAAGCATCAACAATGGAGGCTAACAAAGAAAACCCAATGGAGGCATCAATCACTGCCCCACTTATCCCTCCTCCCTGTGATGTTTTAGTCTTTATTGGAAGCTTTTGCCCCACACTCTGTCACCCTCTTCTACCCCTTTCCTCCCCCCTGCCACTCCCACCTCCTCCATACATCCATCCATCTGTCCATCCATCTGTCCATCCAGCCTCCAAAACAACACCAACCCTCCAGTGTCTGCCATCTCATCCTCCACCCAAACAATCTGCTTATTTATGCACCCATTCATCGAAACACACGAAGAATTGGGTTATATAATCTGTGGTGTTATCATGAACAGAAAAATAGATGGCATGATTAAAAAAAACTGCAGACGGTTCCATTTCTGTTGAAACGAGTAGGAAGAGTCTATGAGAATTGTGCCAAAAATCTGCAATACAAATCTATGCTTATTTTTGTTTCTGCAGGACATGTATGCTGCCTTCTTTCTCCCTGCCCACAACACACACAAAGGAATCCCATTAGAGCGAGAGGAATGGATGGACAGAACAATGGCACAGCTGATTAAAGATAGAAATGCACTGATTATTCTTCCTTACCTTTCTGGCTTTGCGATTCATCCATGTTTTCCTCCATTGTGGCAAGTTACAGTCCCTTTGTCTCTACTGAGTGTGATCTGTTTAAAGCCCCTTGCTAGCTCTCAGCACAGAGTGCGTGTGTGTGTGTATGTGGGAGGCTGTGTGTGTGAGAGTGTTTTTTCTCTCGGTGTAGATGATGGAGGCTCAGGGAAGTCCCTGTTTCAATGCTCTGCTCTCTCTCTCTCTGGGCTTCTTCAGCATCCCATCTTGGCATCTATCTTTGGCTTCCAATGCAGATACTCTTTTACACTATGTATGTCAAAAAATGACAACCTAAATGTTAACAGCAAATAAATGATCATTTCAGTTAAAAGCCATTCTTATACACTTCAATACTGTGACATTAGAAATAGAATAAGAATAAAGTGTCAAATACAAAGTATGCTAATGAGCCATGAGTTAATGTCAATGTACCTTTATGGTAAGTGTGTAAAAACTCAAACAAGATCCAGAATAAACACACCAAGAGAACATAGAATAGGACACATTGAAAGCATCCCAGAACTCTTCTGAGAAAATATACGAGAAGACACCATCAAACATAGCAGCTCTACACACTGACATGACGAAGATCTTAAATGTCATGTACAACAAAAGGCCCATCATCATCATCATCATCATCATCATCATCATCATCATCATCATCATCATCATCATCATCATCATCATAAAAACACAGATACCACAAGTGTTTCTTTCTCAGAATTCACACAGCTCTACATTGTGAAAAAAACTCTTATATACACTGTACCTCTATAAGAGTTGTGTATTTTATCTCAAAGTTCTATAAGTGAAGAAAAAGGTTTCTGCCTCTATCCCAGTAAAGTAGGGGAGTGACACGTAGAGTGGTGCAGCAATGAGTCCTAAAACCTGGAAATGAGTTAGCATGTTATCAGTTCCGGCTTCATTGTCTCGAGGTCAATGATTTTTTTCAACAGGTTTTAGATCATATGGCGGAAATAAATTGCAGTTACGCTTCAAACATCCTCAAAACTGTGAATCTGTGGAGATTATCCCGCTGAGTATCACAACAAGTGTTTGTCGCAGATCTGATTTTCTGGAATATTCCAAAATCCAGTGGAAAACGCTTTTGCTTTTAGTCGATGGACCCCTTGCGTTGCTTAACGTCGTCACCGCACCGCTCTATTCACACGTCATTATCCGGACCAATACACTGTAGCTTGTCCTAAGTGTTTTTTAGCTTTTGAGGTTGTTTGTATAGTTACATTTAAATTTGGTGTAAATACTTCCCTTTAGCATCCTTTTTTTAACGCTAAATAGTTTCTTAAAAATGTGTTTACTTACTTTGCAATTTACTTTTTGAGATTGTTTATGTTCGCACCACCAGATACTAAAGCATATTCCTTGTATGTGTAAACGTACCTGGCAATAAACTGGATTCTAATTCTGATACATAGCAGTCAAGCCACTAAAGTCTCACTCCCTGATAGTCCAATAGCGACGCTTGGTCAGGGTCCCGTGGCGTGCAGTTGTGACGCACCGAGGCTCCTTCAGCTTCATAAACGGACGCAAAGAGCTTTCAACTGATTGCAATGTATTCCCATCGGTGGCGGTATTTGACGCTCAGGGAAGCACCGCATCGGTCCATGTCGGTGGCAGTTAAAGGCAATGTGAGCGTCCATTCCCATTGGATAACGGAGAATTGTACACCCGGAAGTAAGTATTGATTTTACAGTGATATCTGCACTACTCATCAACTCAAAAACACCAGATTATCCTTGTTAATTACACAACATTGATTGGTTTAAATTGTGTAAAATGCTTTTGCGTTTTTCTCCTAGGATTCTGATAGTTTTATCGAAGTTTAGGATGGCCGAAGACGCTACACTACCCATAATCCTCAGCTATCGTTTGGGACGACGCCAGTCCGCTTTGCTCGACAAACCCAGTGATTAGTCCTCAAGCTCTGTGATTGGTTGACCTTCGACTTTATTCCATATGAAAAAAACGTTTCTTAAAAGATAAAATATTCAGCTAGTGCTTGCTTTACTCTTTGAAAGTCATCACATAAATGCATTGTAGAGATGGGCGAGTCCTGATTCATCCGGATCATTAACCCGGATCCTAGTAATGAGCTGGTCGTGACGAGTCTCCCCTCTCGATTAACCCGAGTCCTTTGAGTCCTACACCTGGTGACGTACAAATTAAAACTATAAATTGTGTCACTCGCTACTCTCCTTATAACATGTAAAATCACATTACAACGTACCCCAGTCCATCTGCCTAGCCTTTAGCAAGTAGGATAGCTGCCAGAAGTTATCGTTTGGCTCAGGAGAGTGGACGCAGATCAGTGAAACTTCCTGCACTCAGAGCCGTAACCGTAGCAGATCCAGAGATCCAGAGATCCAGGCAGACTCATCATGCACGAGTCAACAGCAGACTCAGATTCGCAAATCCTGACTCACTGTTCCAGATATTTGGAGCATAATAACTGAACGCTGCTTCTCCATGTTTAGTTCTGACTCTGGGGACAGAAAGCTGACCAGTCCCTGATGACCTGAGAGTTCTGGATGGTTCATAATTTAGCAGTAGGTCAGAAATGTATTTTGGGCCTAAACCATTCAAAGTGAAACCATTCACTCAGAGCCGTAACCGTTTAGCAGCAGATCCAGAGATCCAGCAGACTCGTCCTCATGCATGAGTCAACAGCAGACTCAGATTCGCCAAATCGCAAAATAACCCTTTTTTTTTGTGATCAACATTTTTTATTAAAGCAAAAGACACTGTGTAGCGGAGGTTCATGTAACGTTAGTTTAATATGCTCGTGAAATGCAACAACTTTTCGGTTTCACCGGTAGGATTTCTACGCTCTTGGTGATGCTGACTCATATGACTCAAAGGACTCGTATGATCCGGATCTCTTCAATGACTGACTCAGAAGACTCCGAGTCCATAAAAGGATCCGGATTTGCCATCTCTAATGCATTGTAATAAATGGTTCGGCTGCATTAAATATTACACATCTGCCGTAGTTCTTTATCTATCTACAGAGATTGGGCCTCAGAATATACCAGAAACTATTCTTTTACCATTCTGTTTTAATTTCACAATAAAGTTCACAATAATATTATTATTTGTTATTAACTAGACCGCTGGGTCATATTAAGACCATCTTTTCTGTGTTGCTGTGGGTTTTTTCCATTGCTTTTGTGTTACAAATATCAAAACTATCTATCTAACACTCCTCCTCCCCCCACCCCCACAATGAATATCGACCAATCACGTTCTTGCTTGATTTGCGGGACCAGCGTTGCAGTCGGGAAGAAAAGCAATGTGGAGCAGCAGCTCACCGCTTCATAAGGAGTTTGACCGTGATTTTCCTTCAGGCAGAATCTACACAACACATCAGCCCCATTGAACAGCCTAGTCGTGCCAGCCTATACAGCACATGTACACAGAGTTTTACTGTGTGTGTGTTGCAACTTGCATAGGCCTGGCTATATATTTATTGCACTTGACGCACACACACGCATGGCACTTTTCGAAATCCCGTTTGTGTCCCCCCACTTTACAAATATGTTTTTATTTTTTTTAACGCAAGCCGTCATCGCCACGGAGGAGCACACAACCTCTGTGAGCGAGCGAGACAGAGGGAGAGAGAGCGAGAGAGCTAGGGAGAGCACACCTTTATCTATTTAATATAGATAAAGTCAGAAATCATTCCAATGTGTATAGGACAGTAAAAATAACAAAAAACTGTTTAAAAGGGGAGTGATTAGTAAAATATGCATACATAGAAAGAAAGAATGCTAACTGGTAACATAAGATAAGAATAAACAAGTTTAAATGATTTGTTATTGGTTGTGATCATATTCTAAAGATGTTTGGATTATTGAAAAGTATACAGCTCCCTTTCATCTGAGTGTTGAGAGCTGTATCCATCAATTCATGTTGTGCTCAAAGTGCACCAGATTGATGCATTTCACTTCAACATTTAAAAATAATCTGGAGGTCCACCTAAAATAAAGCAGGTTAAAATAATTAAATTGCATACATTTTCTTTTAGTAAACACTGAAAACGGGTCCCACAGACCCAAACAGCACACAAAGGGTAAAGGTAAGCATATAATAATGTTAAAATGTGCTAAATATATACACTGCAAAAAACAAAAAAAAGAGGAGTAAAAGTAGCCCCCAACTTGTTTTATTTTGTGAAAGTAGCTCTCATCCTAAAAAAGGTTGGTGACCCCTGTTCCAGACCTTGCAGAGGTACTCATTACATGTTTATTTCAAGCAAAATTGTATCAACATAATTTTGGCCAGTGTTCTCAAACTATTTCAACTCAAATATATTAGACCAAAGTATTGTGCTTAAAACAGCTTAACAAAATTAAAGGAACTCCATTAAACTGCCATTAATTGGCATTGCCACTGCATGTTCACTGTTCATTAAAGGGGACCTATCATGCAAAATGCACTTTTGTATGTCTTTTATACATGAATATGTGTCCCCGGTGTTCCAGGGAACTCACCAAGTGTCAGAAAACACAACCCTCTCTATTTTCCTCCATACCCAAATCTCTAAAAAAAGGGCCGCAACGGATCTGATAAAAACTGATCCAGATTTGAACACTGTCCTGACATCAGGAAAGTGGCGCTACGGCTATTGGGCCAACTCTCCACCTATCAGGGGAATGTGGGGTTGGGCCACGGCCGGCCATTGCTGCTCGAAAGCGCTGGAGACGCTGTAGTACATATGCCAGGCCTGTAAGTGGCGCTGTAGTCTGCCACAAAAGCAGCGAAGAAGACTTCCGGCGCATATTTACCATGGTTACCCTTCTGTTTATTCTCCGCTGTGGCTTTTTTCTCCCTCCCCGAGGCAAGCGTTTGCTCCCGCTGCTTTAATTCAATGCAATCCCTCCCCGTCGAGGCAAGCACTGCAATTCTCTCCGGTTAGTCCACCAGCAGATGACAAACACCCACCTCTCCGCCTCTTCCAAGGAATGAGGGGACCGTGCGGCAGAGTTTCAGTTAGGTTTTCTTTCGCCGGTCAAGAAGTCCGTTAAAGTTGAAATCTTCCGGACAAAATTAGAAAAGTGCCGGTCAAAGGTCTTCTTTGTTATTTATTGAGCTTTAAAACAAATGAATAACGACTCTATATAATAATATAATAAAACACGGAGGACGGAGATCTATTTTTCTCCC